TACCAAATTATTTCAAAATTCATTTAAATCGGTTTAGTAGTTTTGGCATGAAAGCGAGACAGACAGACAGAGTTACTTTCGCATTTATAATATTAGTTTGGATGATGTGTCAACTCAGTAGGAAATAATTCGTGCGAGATATTCCGGTTTAATAAATTGTTAATTCCCTTTGGAGGCGCGGGGGAAGCCGCGATTAACGGCTAGTATGTCATATTATGGGAAGGTTACCTGCTTATTATGATCAAAAGTTAATCACGCATTTTCTAAACCCTGAGTTGCAAGAAGTCAAATGCGTTAAAAATGACATATTTAAATATTTTTTTTTGTTTCTGATTAAATTTCGTAATGGATTTATTTTTACATAAATGTAATTGTTAAGTTCACTGTTTTTGTCAAGAATAACCTCATTATAAACTTACTTTAAATGAAATTTAGTGTAACGGAAATAACCTGACATAAGATAATTAAGAAAGTTCCCTGTCTCGCTGTAAATTAGGCATTTCATCGCCCTTAAATTTAATTCTTTGAAAATTTAAAGGCCAATTCTTTAAGCCTTTAATAGAATTTTTGGGAATATCTCATATTTTTCAGCAATGATGAAGGTATATAATTCGAAATAAAACTTTGACGATTAATTAAGAAGTTTAATTTTAATCATCATCCATCCGTTAGTTATTTTAGTTACTTTCTTTGAATCCCCGGTAAATATAAGTTTTAAATAATATATTAAATATCATAGAGATGATATCCAAAAATATCCGAAAAAAGCTACGTAATCACGTATAATATGTAAATAAAATATATCCATAAGTTATGTACGAAGCATTTGAACTAGTCTAAAGTACTGTAGACTATATTAATTTCAAGCTAAATTATAAAGACTGAAAACCTCATCTACGTTTTTTTCTTTTTTTTATTATCATTATTTTTATGGATTTTTATCTATAAAGATACGCCAACTCTATCGTAGCTTACACAGATCACAACAACTTACGAAATACAAATACTTAAAATTATAGATTTATTAAACCGGGAAATACTGTTTGTTGACATGAACAAGGCCGCAAATACGTTTTATTGTTTCACTTTAGGGATTCGCCAATATATTAAATATGAGACCAACATCTAATAAATTTATATTCATATCTTTTAACAGCAGTTCCCTTTCATTTCGGTTCCTTTGACAATCCATCATCATATGTCTACAATGTAAATTCTCGTAAATCGACTGCTCAAGTCAATGGATTTAACTTCGGTGCTGTGAAAAAAATACAGAAATACGATTGTTTAGTGGATATAAAACATTATATTTTCCTTATCTCTCTTGATTACTAGCTTAATCACAAGGAAATTGAAACTTTGGGAAAGTGAAACAAGAATAAACAATATAACAATAAGTAATGGAAACGGAATGAAATCCTACGCCTGTTTCATGATATTAATTTTCATGTAAAACCACGTGCACCAGCCGTTATGTTCATTGTGTCTCAGCACCTTGAAGCTAAAATTAATTGCTTCTTGGTTGGTTGATGGCTGGATATAAAATATTTTAATGTTCATAAATTTTGTAAAAAATATATTGTCATGTATTAATATGGTGATTCATATTTTTTTCTAAGAAAACTATAAATATTTTAAGACTAATGTGCAATAATTTAATAAATCGAAAAGTTTGAAATATATTTTCGTATAGCGATACAAAGAGGTAAATTGTATGCTGCATTCTTCGATAAAATAAAAAGATCAACCATTGCTGTGTAGATATTGTCAATTGTTCTTAAATCAATTATGACTAAGTACTTTCTTATACTGTATATATATCTTCATCTGACATTTTATTAACATTCGAAGTTCAACTTGATGTAGGTACTTTAAAAAAATTAAATTTGAGAGTATAGTTTACAAACCAAAAGAAGGGTTAAATACCTTTTGACCCTTTTTTGGCGTGACCAACCTTTTAACAATTTTTTTGGTTTCACAACCTTTCAAATGATGCTGGATAAAAAAACGAGTGTCTATTTATGTACGCACCTAAGAAGTTATACTTCTTTACCGTAACAAAAATAACTTAAAAATTTAATGCCTGGTGACAAGAGAGCTGGTTCTTTTCTCGCTCAAAGGTTAAGCATAACTATTCAGCGAGGAAATGCAGCTAGCGTTCTTGGCGCCATGCCGCGTGGATTAGGTTCATTAGATAATTATGTAATTTTAGACAGATTTAATCTTGTAAATATTAGATCAATAAAGATTGTACATATTCTTAAAATAATAATTACATAAAGTATATTATATTTAACATATTTTCATCAAAAATTTGGATTGTAATATAAATATATTAAATTCAAAAATTATAAAAATCCCCTGTGTCAGTATGCTCTATTTGTGAAAAGACATTAGATGCAATTTATAACGATTTAATGAAAGAACTTGGAATTATAGGTAAATGTTAAAAAGCTTTTGTTCTGAAAAGTGATTGCCATGGTAATACCCTGAAGTTGGTCGAAGTTGGTCGCTTTGCAACTGATATCAACACGTTATAGGTAATTATAACCGCAATTAGACTGTCGATGTGCGCGCGTGGTAAAAATTTTACTATCATAAATTTTTCCAAATACGCCAAAAGGAGCAGAACTTAAAAACTTAAATTAATTTCAGCATTTCAAAATAAACGTTTGTAATGAGGTCTTTCACTTACATTGGATTAAAGAGATTTTAGACTCTGAACTTAACAATGTACAGTTTGTATTGAAGTAGTCATATAGTAATATATTAAGCGGCATTTATAACTGATACGGAACCATAAATCAATATTCAGCCATGTGTGCCAGTGATCATGAATATTTAAGGAGTAATCAAATTGATAGATGCAACAAGTCGGAAAGGGAAGCGTTTTGGAACGATGCACAACGTTACGCTGCACACTCTAATCTTAATTTTTACTTGAACGCCGTTTTAGTTTATCTGCTTTGCAGTAAATTAAAATTATTGAAATGATACAAAACCAGTGGAAGGCAATTAAAAAGGGCTGTAAAAAACTTACTGCAAGCGTAATTAAAGTTAAGAGTTAAATTCCACTATTAACCGGGCTTTTGAGGGTCATAATTGGACATTTTTAACAACATAATTATATAAATTTAAATTGTTTATAGTGCTAATCTTTGCACTTAAGATTGAACATTAAAACATGTAGAAAAAGTGCGAAAAGATTGTCGCCGCTGTGGGAATCGAACCCACGTCTTCGGCATTCGCGGCCTGACGCTCTAGCCACTGAGCTAAACGGCTGATTACCACACCGACGAAAATCTTAACGCATTCTTCCACATTGTTTTCTTAGCATTTGAAGCAATGCTTGGCGCCATCTATTGTTATATCCTTTCCAGCATACAAACAACTTCGAATATCGTTTTACAACGATAATTCGAACGAGAGATGTCGCCATTGCTTTTTTAGAAATTTAAATTGTTTATAGTGCTAATCTTTGCACTTAAGATTGAACATTAAAACATGTAGAAAAAGTGCGAAAAGATTGTCGCCGCTGTGGGAATCGAACCCACGTCTTCGGCATTCGCGGCCTGACGCTCTAGCCACTGAGCTAAACGGCTGATTACCACACCGACGAAAATCTTAACGCATTCTTCCACATTGTTTTCTTAGCATTTGAAGCAATGCTTGGCGCCATCTATTGTTATATCCTTTCCAGCATACAAACAACTTCGAATATCGTTTTACAACGATAATTCGAACGAGAGATGTCGCCATTGCTTTTTTAGAAATTTAAATTGTTTATAGTGCTAATCTTTGCACTTAAGATTGAACATTAAAACATGTAGAAAAAGTGCGAAAAGATTGTCGCCGCTGTGGGAATCGAACCCACGTCTTCGGCATTCGCGGCCTGACGCTCTAGCCACTGAGCTAAACGGCTGATTACCACACCGACGAAAATCTTAACGCATTCTTCCACATTGTTTTCTTAGCATTTGAAGCAATGCTTGGCGCCATCTATTGTTTATATCCTTTCCAGCATACAAACAACTTCGAATATCGTTTTACAACGATAATTCGAACGAGAGATGTCGCCATTGCTTTTTTTAGAAATTTAAATTGTTTATAGTGCTAATCTTTGCACTTAAGATTGAACATTAAAACATGTAGAAAAAGTGCGAAAAGATTGTCGCCGCTGTGGGAATCGAACCCACGTCTTCGGCATTCGCGGCCTGACGCTCTAGCCACTGAGCTAAACGGCTGATTACCACACCGACGAAAATCTTAACGCATTCTTCCACATTGTTTTCTTAGCATTTGAAGCAATGACGCAGCAAAAATTTGAAGAAAACGACATCTCTCGTTCGAATTATCGTTGTAAAACGATATTCGAAGTTGTTTGTATGCTGGAAAGGATATAACAATAGATGGCGCCAAGAATTGCTTCAAATGCTAAGAAAACAATGTGGAAGAATGCGTTAAGATTTTCGTCGGTGTGGTAATCAGCCGTTTAGCTCAGTGGCTAGAGCGTCAGGCCGCGAATGCCGAAGACGTGGGTTCGATTCCCACAGCGGCGACAATCTTTTCGCACTTTTTCTACATGTTTTAACATAATTATATGTTTATCACGTCTCATCATGTTATGGTACTTATTAACGATTATTGAACTATAGAAATTCGTCTTGAAAATTATCAGATATCAATAGGTTACCAACATATAAGTAAATTTTTTTCTAAATACAAACGAATTTTAGGTCATCCGTGATCTACATTCGTACATACAGTAGTTACTTAAAATAGTTGTCTGCATTCACCGTTCTTTTTTAAACCTACTATTTTTTTATGAAATTTATAACACCTAATTTAATATAATTTGAACAAATTATTCTTACTATTCTTTCAGGAAATAAAATATAATTTTTAATTTTAAATGAAGTTAAAGCGCTGTTTTACTTAAAACTGTGTAGCTGCTTATCAAATAGTTTCGTTATTTTTAATTTGCCTCTATTTCAGCAGCGATGGCTTCTCCAAGATTTATTGTTCTGCTGGTGTTCTGCACCGCGGCTAACGGGGGTTATCTTTCTTACCTGAACGACCACATGCAGTCTTTCCGCCAGAGCTCACCCTTCAACTTTCAACTCCCCGGTACCGTCAATACACCATTCTCGTCCGGTTCATCGAATCTGAGACTGCCTGTTAATGGATATGGGTAAGCTTTATGGAAAAGAAACATCAGTACCGCTCCTCGTTTTAAGTCCATTGTATATATGTATAAATTGAAGTGAATGTAAATTTTTTACCTTTACGTAAGTTGCGGTGTTAATTTTTGTTGTTTGTTTTAATGCACGTATTTCACACAGAGTATTGTATATGTGACCTCACTTTGCATATTTTTAAGTAGTATACAGTATACATAGATTATTTTCACAATGTTTTCGTAGCATCACTTTTATTCATAAGCGTCAAATAACATGTATGTGGTATTTTTGTATTATATATGACTAAAAATATTAAAAAGAACGTGCACTTTTTATCGCATATCTTTGCAATAAAATTTAAATGTAGGCTATAAGTAATCACCCTTTGCACAAATGTACTTTTTAAATTAAATACTAATTGTTGCGAAATTATAAGGCTTTGGCAGTAATTGATTTAATGTTGCACGTATTTGTGTTTAACACATGTATTGGTTGTTTTCAACAGCCATGAGACGGGTGACACTGATGCATATGGCAATGATCCAGATTTCAGGTGACTCTTTTGTTTTTTGATAAATATTTTATCTGAATATAACTTTTTTCGTAAAATTGTTCATTCAGGTTTATCAATATCAAATGCTTCTTAAGCCGCATTTTATCTTGAATTTGTTTGAAAAAATTGTAATGTTTTATATTGTGTTCATAAATATTTATCATTTATATGTTTTTTTTTGTATGTATCGATTGCATGAGTTAAATAATAGATTTAATACGTTGTTTTAAGATATTTTAATAATAAAATATTTGGAATAAAATGAATGAAAAAGAATTTTTTGCGGTACTGAAAAAACCTAAATATATTTTATTATTTGAAACGTTTAACCATTTTTATATCTGTGGTCGAAGACACCCGTCTCTGTTGAATTCTTTCTCACTTAACATTATTTTTAACAATTAAAATGCCCTCTTACAGAACTGGTAGACTATTAAATGACTTTCATTAGGATTTGATGCATCATGTAAATATATTGAATAAAAATCTGGGTCTTTTACAAAGGGATAATTATTTATAGCTTCAGCAATCCTCCTCCTCCGCCGAACGCTGGGTCAAGTCCAGCAGAGCAAACCTGCGGCCTTGCACCACCCTTTTGCGCCAAGTCGCGATACAGGTCAATAGACGGTTCCTGCAACAATTTACAAAGACCTATTTGGGGCATACCTCAGACACCTTATGGGCGCCTGGTACAGTTTAATTATGCCGACGGTGAGAGACTTTTTTGTGTTTTTTCATTCTCTTAAACATAATACAATCAACTAATTGATTTCATACGGTATTTATTTGTTTAGGTGTCAGTGCGATGCCAATATCATTGACTGGACGCCAATTACCCAACCCTCGGGAGATTAGTCTAAGACTGTTCCCAGACAAACAATTAATCGATCCCGTTTGGAACCTGAACGCACAGCAATGGGGGCAGATTATTACACACGACATGTCTTTGACTGCTGGTGTAGCTCAAACACGTTAGTTTAATATAGTTTTTTATTAAATTATATATATTTACAGTCTCCTTTCTTTTCCGTATATTTAGAAAATTACCAGTTAGTTGTATAAATATTTATTACGTATGATAAAGGCATCAATTTATGCTTAGGAAATTTCTTAGTCTTTAATTGCCAATGACATCAATAATTTAAAAAGATAAGCAGTGTTCAATTCATAGGTAGTGTATGTATTCATTGTTAATGTATGTAATGACAATATTTACGACATTTGAAGAAGAAGACATGGATCACTATAGAAATGGATGTATACACAAAGAACACTATACTATATGTAAAATACGTTTGTTTACAGACAAAGATTTAACGGTATGCTGCGATGACAACGGGCAATTGGCACCAGATGCCGCATTAAATCCCACTTGTGCTCCAATTCTGATCCCGCCCTCTGATGTAATCCACGCGCCTCTAGGCACTCAGTGCATGAACTTTGTCAGGACCACCACGACTAGAGACAGAGGATGCACCCCTCCTAATGCCCCAGCACAACCGGTACATTTTACTTCATATCAATGTAATTTTTGAGGCTACCGGTTGGCCAGGAACTTGAACTTATTCACTTACTTTTTTATGTAACGTACTCTTTAATTTTGTGGAACTTTAAAACTGTGCCTGTTTTAGCGAATTAGTCAACACGTTTTATATATGGGTATAGTACAGACTTTATTGCATAAGTAAGTTAATATCGTTGCTTTGTAAAAATTTGTAGTTATATTTTCCTACACATTTAACGTTTCATCTTAAGTGCAGAGATTAGCACTATGATTGATGATGAAAATTTAAATTTCTAAGGACCACCATTACTTTACGAGCGAATGTTGTTTCACAAATTTCAATTGATTTTGCTAAACTTCAACAGCTTTCTACGGTAACGGCTTACATGGACTTATCGTTGGTGTACGGTAGTAGCGATGCGCAGGCTGCCGCTATTCGCGCCTATAATGGAGGTCGCTTGACAACGCTGGTGAGGAACGGCCGCGAATGGCCGCCCCAAGATCCCAATATAACTTTGACCTGTGAGTCCGCTCTTTCACCGAACGAGCCCTGCTATTTAACGGGTAAGCATGTATATTTGAAAAGGCTTGTGCAAATTAGTATAGGATTATATAGGGAGGGAAAATTGCGTCGCATAATTCGTCATTTTTGCCTATTCCTCTGCGTTATGTACAAGGAGGCTTTTCTAAGTTTTTCCAGTTTTTTAATTAAATTCTAGACATAAATAATGTTATATATATGATGAATATTTTAAATCACTCGTGATTTATTGAATTACTCATTAATTTGAACATATCTCAAAAAGTGCGTGATATATACGCAACTCATTTATTTTACGCGCAATCATTTATAACGCAACACGCACACAAGTTCGTTTCTGTGCGTGAACAGTAAAATTTAGGTATTTATGAATGACTACCGCGTTTTTAACAAGTTTTGTTTTTTAGGGAATAGAATGGTAATGTTTTATTGAAAAAGAAATCGTTTGTTTTTATTTCAATAAACGATTATACTACCGAGTTTGAACCTCCTGTGTAAATATGGGCACCTTTAAAAAAGTCTCCTTGTATAAGCTTGTGTGCTATGAATGATAATTGAATGTCACGTATGAGTTTTTTGCATATCTCCAGTCGAATAATTTATTTTCCAATTCAATTTTTGTGGTACGCGTACTGATTTAAAACATTTTTGAATCTATAATGCTAGAAAAGATTTATTTAACGACATCTGAAGTATAAAAAAATGTGGTCAGAAAAACAGTTTCCGATTATAATTACGCACAAAATGATTATATGACTCCGTGGCGCAGTTTCCAATGTATTGGCTTCGATGTCGGGGGTCGTGGGTTCGATTCCCGCACAGCTATTTGTGTGACACACAGATAGTTTCACATCTGGGTGTTTGTCCACGTGAAATTTATTTATGTTTGTAAAACGTCCTTACGGCAAAGAATAATTAATATTATCCAAAAGTAAGGGCAATGTTTTAAAAAAATGGTCCTATGACTTTTATTTATAAAATATTCATAAGTTTTCACAGAAATTATAGGTACATTTTGACAGAAATTAAATTAAGTTAAAGTATTGAACAAAGAAAGAAAGTAGTACTTATCGTTCGAAACATAATGGATTAAACTTGATCTATAAAATCTCGTTCGCAAAGAATCGAGACTGGCTAATTAGTTCACAAGGGAATTTATATAAAGACTATGCTTTACCAGAAGAACTTAGTGTGCCCATCAATCTTAAATCCTTATTTAATTAAAAGATTCTTTCTTCTTCAAGACCTTTTGTCGACTTTATAGATATAATTATGGCTAAAGACGTTTTTGGTAATGATCTTATAAGTCACATGTCCTTTCTTGTTAAGGTGACGTTCGAGTAAATCAGAGTCCACAGTTGTCGGTACTGCAAATCATTTTGTTGAGGGAACACAACCGTATTGCGGACACTTGTCAAAACTCAACCCGTACTGGGACGACGAGACAATCTACCAGGAGGCGAGGCGAATTCACATAGCCGAGATTCAACACATCAATTATTACGAGTATCTACCTATTTTCCTTGGTGAGTTGCATTGTTTTGCGATATCGGTTTAACATAATCTGTAGCCTTTGATCTTGTCAGTTTCGAAGCCCCTAATGATGCTAAACATTCCCACGCTTTAGGTCACGATTGTTATATTTTAATTGGCGTACCGCGACACGATAGGAGAATTTTTTGATGCGACATTGTTTTTGCCCGGAAATATAGTTTAATAAAATTTTATATAATGAATTGCTTAAAAATGTGATAAAAGTGAAGTAGATAAAATAGGTCGGTGTGAATCTAAGTCGTTTAGCTCAGTGGCTAGAGCGTCGGGCGCGTATTCCAGAGGACTCGGGTTAAAATCCTTGCAGTGGTGAAAAACCTTTTGTCCATTTCCTACAAATTTTTAAATTTACCTTATTATATTATTAATAATTTCTTTTTAATCATTTATATCCTTTAATAATATCCTTTTTTTCTTGAATTTTCCATAGTTGTAGAGTCTTCAAATACGAATACGAAATGCAGTTTCTGTTTTAGCAGTTTAATTTGGGAGAAGATTTAACTGTGGCCTCTCAACAATTTTCGCTGTTGCACGAATGGGCAGGTCCGTCCGGGTATGTACCGCGCGAGCTCACTGAAGACCGGCGTTAAGTGGAAGTCTGATTCTTCTGCGTTTCGTCTAGTGAGTGAGGTAGTTTGGGCTCACTTTCTTAAAAGGTGGCGAGAGCATAAATATGCCGTAATCTTACGCGTGTTGCAAATGTCACATCACGTGTACTACCAGCTCGTTTACCATCTAACATAAAAAATACATCGGCAAACGTGTAAAGATGTTTTTGTACTCAATAAGGTTCTCGTTTTTGTACTTTGATAGCACTGCAAGTGTCTACTTGATGATCACGTGCTCAACGGTGAAGGAAAACATTGTGAAGAAACCTGCATATTTTCGAAATAATAACAAAAAGAAAGTATTTTGAATATATGTGAAGTCTGCCAATCCGCAGTGGGGCCGCGTGGTGGACGATGCCCTGGATACCCTCTGTACAGAGGAGGCCTTTGCCCAGCAGTGGGACATATATAGGCTGATACTTTACTTTTTTTTAACGGCTGATTGCACCATACATCTATTGATATGTCCCTTACAGCACACAAACAATTTCCAATATCGAACTTGAGTTCGATAATTCGAACGAGAGATGCCGCCATTCCTATTTGTTCATAATATAGCATATTATAATTTAATAGGTTTCCAAAACATGGTGAAGAACAAGCTTATCTACCCAGATGTTAAGGGATACGTCAATGACTACAATCCGAGTGTAAATCCAACCGTCCTCGATGAACACGCCACTGCGGCCTTCAGACATTTCCACACATTGATCCGTGGATACTTAGAGTAAGAATCTTATTATCGCCGTATTCCATTTCGAGATCGGAGACAATGTGGTTTGATTCGAAGTGGGAACTGTGTGAGAAATCATTGTGCATTATTTGCAGATTGATCAATGAGCACCGCAAATTAAATGGCGCCGTGCGAATAAGCGACTGGTTCAATAGGCCTTTGCTGTTGGAAATCAATAATGCTTTTGACGACCTGACAAGGGGCCTAACAACACAGCCACAGGACTTCAGCGATCAGTTCTGGGATACCGAGATAACTCAATTCCTATTTAAGTAAGAGTGCCTTTTTTACCATTGAAGTAAATGTAAAAATTTCACATAAGATGATGATACGTGCGTTACTTTGCTTTTCGAATATTATTTAGCAAATTATTGTATTGCTCCACGTATAATAGACGTAATAACACGTACGGAGGCGACTTGAGGGCTACTGATATTCAGCGTGGTCGCGATCACGGCTTGGGCAGCTATATATCAACGCGCGCCGCTTGCAGCCTACCGGTGCCCAAAACTTTCCATGACATGCTCGACCTCATTCCTGAAAAGGTATTTCTTGATTATTATAGATAGATATGAAATATATATAGATCCGGATGACATTCATTATGTCATACAAATGAGTACACGGTTCATTAGGTTTCTGTCAGTGAGTTCATGGAGCACCCAAATATCGAGCTTTTTAGCTTTTTTTCAAATGCGCCAAAACTGTTTTGAGTTCAATTCCCAGTTCTTCAGCTACATCGAAACTACTGATATGCCGATATTGCTCCACTTTTTCAAAAATGGCATCCATTTTTTGCGCAACCGGGCGCCCAGAGCGAGGTGCATCTTTGACATCAAAATTTCCGGATTGAAATCGCTTAAACCAACAATTGTGCTACTCTCACAGATACTGCACTAGGTCCATAAATATCACAAATTGTTTTCGTTGCATTTTTACCTTTTTCGTAGAAAAATTATAAAATGTATCTAATTTCTTCATTAGAATCACTCAAGATGAGTGGAATTATCTTTTTTAAAATTTAAACTTTTTAATAATACCAAAATCAGCCAGATACAAATGGCATAGGCAAAGAGATTGTAACATAAGTACATATTACATACTATTTGCGAAAAGAGTTTTTTTTTATTTTTATTTATTTATAATTACGCGGATACAAAACTTTTTAAACCTTTAGCGATTTAACTAATATATCTCTTGTAAATGTAAACGATCCTTTTTGGGTAACAAGAAGTAAGGTTTTTATCTTTCTTATGGAGTAACAAATGATTAAATTGTTGTCAGAACGTTAAAATACTCCAAGGACTCTATGAGACACCGAATGATGTTGAGCTGGTGGTCGCGGGCTCGTTGGAGCGGAACGTGCCAGGCGCCCAAGCTGGACCCACTTTCCTCTGCATCCTCACCGAACAGTTCTACCGGACCAGAGTTGGTGATCGCTTCTTTTATGAAAACGGCGGAGACCCTGAGACTGCATTTACTCTCAGTAAGTGATAAAGTATTTGTCAAACTCAAGACGTGGGTCCGATTCCCACACGGGACATGTATTAGTGTGACCAACAGGTGTTTGTTCCCAAGGGCGGTTGATTTCAGACATGCGGATGATCGTAAATATCCACACAAGCACTAAAAACACAATTCACATGTTGTGGCGACTATATTTTTATGTGAATAGTTGCAAGCGATCTAGCGATTTACTTGATGTTATGTGATTACCCCAATTCCCAAAAAAAAATCTGCCGTATAGGTGGGATAAGGGCACGGTGATGATTATGTACTGAGTATAATAACATTTGATAATTTAAGAGTTCACTGAAAATTCAAAAGAAAATTTGTCACACATTATGTTGGTTAAATGTGTTAATTTGTTTGCGCCGTTGCATCGCGCGATACAGTAGTGCGCTCACGGCTTCCGTACATTAAACTGCGTCACTTGTACCGATACGTAAAACTTGCGAATCCAGTGCTTATATTTGGGCAATTAAATCTCTGTTGTGTATGTGTGAGTTCTAACGTTGTGTATGTATATGTTACGTGTTTTAAAGTGTAAATAAACAATATACCTGTGCTGAACAATTATAGTTTGATTTACAAACGCGACAACTATTATAGGTTTATCTCAAATAGAACCCGAAACCTATAATAGTTTCAAATAGTTACTATTTGAATTTTAAAGGGAATTCAAATGATCATTTTGAAAATATTGAAATTATATTAATACGTATTTGGAGATATTAAAAAGTACGGAAACTACTGATCAGGGTAAAAGTCAAAATTTTTTTTAAATCGAAATAACGTAATTTACAGATTTCTACATAGGTATCTATGGTCATCTCTGATAATGCACTTTGAAGAGCAAACGTTGTTATAATTTCCGATATTGCAGGTCAACTCGAATCGATTCGACAAGGATCATCAATGGCCCGGTTGCTTTGCGACAACGCCGATGACATAAACCTGATGCAGCCCAGAGCGTTTGAACAAATTTCAATCAGGTGAGTTTCAAATAAAAAATTAAATTAATTGTAATTTAAATGAGTTGTTAATTTAAACTTAAATTAACAATTTAAAATTATCAAAAGTATCTATATTGTTAAAATTTCTTTTGAAAGTGGGGATCGTTATGAGTTTAAAATTTTATATATTTTAGTTTCAAATTATATATGAGTTTCAAGTTTATACGTTTCGATTTATTAACTTCCTCCCCAATACAGAATCTCTATATGATGATGATAATGATGTATGGGACAACTCCTACCTTTGTTATTTTTACTACCAATATTAACTGGAATCGGTACCCAAGACTCATTTTCATCTACTTTTATTGTGCGCATTTTTTTCACCATCCCCGAGGGATCTTGACACGAACAACGGCCGTCTGTTTTGGGGCCGCCCGATTACCGACCGAGCTATTATAACATTTTTTACGGCGAAATTTACCGGAAAACAAGGATAAAAGGAAATTTTTAAATAATGAAACCTAACTAGATCGATTTTTCGCTCCCGAATCTACGCACATGCAAAATTTCATGAAAACCGCTGGACTCGTTTCCGAGATTCCGATTATATATATATACAAGATTTGATATTGCTCGTTTAAAGGATAAGATATGTTGGTACTGGAAATGTTTCGGATTTCGAAAGTTATTCTATGCAGTCAACATTTAGTATGAGTGAAAGACAGCAGCAACTAGATGTTTATCTTAATATTCTTGGACGCCTTCTAGACTCCCTAAAACGATAAGATTCTCTTGGCTCGCAAATAATTATGTTCACTAAAATGTATACACCATTTAAAACAGGAACAAGTTGGTGTCGTGTGATGAGCTGCCAGAAGTTGACCTCTCGCTATGGGAAGATACAAGTGGTATTTACAATAAATAATTACACAGCGTTACATATAACATACATAGTATTTAATTTAAAGAGGAAATAAAGTCTGATTCCTTCACAATTTGTTTGCATTTGTGAAACATAAACCTTGTGTATTCGGAATATTGATAATTCCGATTAAACAGTTTTATTGTATGAACATTTTAGTTAACTTGAACTATGTATGTATGATTTATTTAAAATGTTTCTATTTAAAAATATTCACTATTATGTTATGAATCTATTTATTACGTTATGGTAATTCAGATCATAGGTTAATTTTAATAATTAAATTAAAAAAATGCTTCAAAGACTATATATGAAATTTTTAAGTCTATCTTAAAAAGTAATACCTGTTTTAACTTAACAATTACTTTTTACACAATTAGCTGTAGTTAATTGTGTAAAAAGTAATTGTTAAGTTAAAATAGGTTTGCTTTATGTAAATAACGTATACATTCAGAAGGAAAACACACAAAGGATCCTTTGTGTTCTCAGAACCGTGAGTCGAAGGAATTAATTAACTTTTAACCCAAAGTTAACACGAATAAATGATTTTTCTTACTTCTAATGAGCTTTTTATTTCACTTTCTCATAGACGTACATAATACTTTATTAAGTTGATTTGATTTATTTTTAAAACTGTTTAATCTCCACTGTGTAAAAAGGAGAGGAAAAATGCGATATAAGACACGAAAAAAAATTAAGACGCATTAGGACCTAATACAGTGTTAGCAAGCATCATAAAATTGTTTTGACCATTTTGAAAAAGTCTGGGTATACACAAACACGCACGCACATACGCACACAAGCATACACACTTTCCTTATTTTCCGCTTTAAATATTTATTGACTGCCCGTTTATCAAACTGTACATCGTATTATTTATCCCCATTGGCAACATCTTATGTGGGGGTCAGTTCTTAAGGCGTATAATGAAGAAATATTTAGGAAATAAAGTAATTTATATTTTTATAAAGTGATGCTTTGTAGTGTATGGTGGGATTATAAACTTTGTTGCTGGCAAAACCGCCTATTTCGGATCTATTTTTTTTTAATTTATTTATTAAGGTACACCAACAGCATAACATATACTTACATTTATACAGCGTGTCGTTATCACCGCGACAATAAATGAACACCATCTAACATCTAACTCTAATTGCCAATAATCATTAAAAAATATAAAACGTTAAAAAAATCCATAATTTAAAAAAAATATATTTATAAACAAACTAATAACCTGGGCCCCAAAGATTCACTAAGAAACCTGTTTAAAGAAATAAAAATATTGACTGTAGCTTCTCAGTACATACTTGCTAATGTTATGTATGCCCACAAAAATAAGAATGACTTCAAGATTTAGTAATGTGCATGATGTAAATACTAGGAACAAGCATAAATTAGTTTTACCCTCAACTAGATTGCGTAGAATAATTAAATCTTTTATGGGACAATGTATTATACGCTTTTACAACAAAATGCCAGAAAACGTTCAAAATGAATCCGTTGCTAAATTCAAAAAAACTTTTAAAGGAACGTTTGTGTGTTAATGGCAATTATAGTATTAGTGATTATCTGAATGATAACACACTTGGAAATGAATTGATCGCTCCAGGCTCTTTCAAGTGGCATTTAATAATTGTACACATATTTGTAATTTTTTTGGCAAGTAAAAAAAATGTCCCGCTGACTTTCTTACGCCGGTTCTTCTCAGGTCAGTGGCTTTCCTTCCGAACCGGTGGTAGAGTTTTTTGACTATCAATAGGTAAGTGAATGCTTCTATATTGAATAAAGATATTTGACTTTGACTTTGACTTTGAATTAAATGAAAAAGAAACAAAATTTGTAACATCCTATAAAACTACAACTGACTGATTCATACATTCAGTCTTTTTCATTCTTTGCCACAACGTGAAATACAAGTTTCTCCTTCTAACAGTATGTTTAATCTCTTTTAAATTAATTCAACCCATTCATAAAAATAAAGAATGTAAATGCATAATACAATTTTAAAAAGTTATCCTCTATATTTGAGTTCATTTATTGTCGCGGTTGTAACGACACGCTGTATAAACATAGATTTTTTAATTATAGATTTTGTTGTTATATTTAGGACTTTAGAACTGTGTGATTTCTAATAGTGTGGGTCAATGAATTTTCATCAATAAAATTCATAGCCTTAATATACATATCCGTTAACCGGGGCGTCGAGGATCTTGATCCGTAAATTTCAGAACTAATGTATCTCTGTCTATCTTGTAACGATCACTGATGTTAAGAATGTTTTATTCGGTTCTATTCAAGGTTCATCATTTGTTTTAAAAACCTCATCACAATAGAGATAGTGGCCAACTCGCCCGAAGTGAACAAAATAATTATAATAATATATACGAAATAGTGCTTGCGTCGTCACGTCTCTCATTTCTGTCCCTTGTTCTAGTGACTTGAAGTAACGGATGATATATTGCGACATATTTACGAAAAATGTCTATGACACTGACTCTATTAAATTGATCCCTCTTGACTGAGGGTAACGGTTGAGTAAGCTAATAGCGGCTAAACCTTTTTACATGAAATTCAAAAAACACGTCATATTTTTTTAAATATGACGTTTTTTCTGAAATTGGTTTAGATGTTTACAAAATACTATAACATTTAAACTGATAATATTTTATACTTATATATCAATAAACGAAAATGTCGATATTCGAGAATCTTACCAATTTACTGCCTAAAGGCACTTATTTATGGCTGATATGATAGGAACATAGTTGCTGTTATAGATCGACGCTTTGTCAGAGAAATAGCGAAGCATGCGATAGTTACATGCGTTAAAACTAGAAAGCGGCCAATTTATGACGTCATACAAACCGTGATAGTGTACTAAAATTGTTTTCTATCAACGCCACGTCGTTGACAATTCTAAGTGTTTGACACGATGTAACAACTAAGGTAATTACCGACAAGTTAAAAGAGTGTGTTGAAATGTAAAGTATTGTTTAGGACTTTGAAATATGATGTAAAATTATGTCACGATGGGTTCAAAATCATTCAAATTCAATCAATTCAAATGTTACTATACCTCGTTTTAACTTATTAAAGCTGTATAAAAATTCTATGTGTTTTACAGTAGTGTAAATAGGCATATATTTCATATAATACGTAACATATATTAGTATAGTAGTATATTTTTATACTGTGGTAGGAAAGATTTTGCTTGAATGAGCAGGCTCGTGCGGGGAAGTGTAGCTTCATAGAAGACGCGTCAAGTGGAAGTTTTATACTTTTACGTTCTGTCTAGTAAGTGAGCTGACTGAAGCCAATTTTTAAAGAGCGGCACTGATCCACAATCTTTCAGTAGCTGCAGATGTCCATCTAGAGCATCTGAAAGATGCTGTAGATGGACATCTGCAATTTGGATCGTGCAATTTGGACATCTGCAGCTACTGAAAGATTGCGGATCCAACTGTGATTGTGGGATATTAGAATAATGTGAGTTATATGCTGGCTTGCAAACACTTATAAAATTTTTAAGAACTGTGTTATTCATATAAAGACTTTTAATATTATCATACAATCAACGCTATGGAGCCCGCCATCGCTTTGTCTTATTTCGTTGTTACTCTAGCATGACGACAGTTATGAATTATATCGTAAGACGCTGATAAACATGATATAACGTTGAGGCAGGAGTTTTTTTATGAAATCGTTGGAATATCGGTAAAAAAGTTGATAATCAAATCTGAAATAACCGCTTACCACAATAACTTCAATTAGCAACGAGTAATAGAAGAATAATTGGCAGTTGAAAGTCGACTCGTAAGAAAAGTATAAATTGTTTGACAAAAAAAAAATTTGAAACATATTTTATATTTCATTTTCTCGATAATATTTGATATACTTACTACTAAAACTATAAGTACATGTATATCAAGCCCACACATGCATTGCAATACATGCCGTATTGCAATGCATGTGTGGGCCCTGGCTACCTCACTGACCAGACGAAACGCAGAAACACATACGCGACTTCTGAGTGTGTGACATACGCGAGTCCTAAGGCCAACAGTCGGTTATTAAGCCCAAAAAAAATCACGTAACCATCCGGAAGGACAAGCCCGTTCGTGCAATAGAGAAGATTGTTGCGTGGCCCATTGTAAAAGGGAGATCATTTTTAATGGAAGAAGAGATAGTTTTAAAATTACGAAATACTTATTAAGCTGTGTGACTAGCATACAAGATTTCAGAGGGAATCGCACCTTTATTAAAAAAAACTTTAATTCAATGAGCTGAACGATACATAACGAAGAATACACAAACAGTTTATTGTAATTTATACACGAAAAGTAATATACATAATTGCTGAACAAATATGTTAAGCGTTATTATAATAAATGTAAAATTCTTGAATCTAACAAAAATTAACGTGGCGTGAAGTTCCGTACCGTGCAATTTCGATTTAATAAAGATATACAAAGTTTAATTGAGAACTCAGAAACCCCTCTTTGAAGCGACTAAGTTCCATTAGAAACTATATTGCAGTATGCTGTTTATGTTATGTTATAGTAACGTATAGATGTTTTGAGTGTGTTTATTTTGTTAACGCGGACGTACTTTCGCGATAATTTTCATCAACACATCCCCTTCTTAGTGCGACTTTTAGCAATTGCGGTTCACATCCAAATTATATTAAGTGGACTTTGGTCATTTATTAGGTCTTTATCTGCGAAATTGCCGCTTTATATGAAATAAGTTAATCGTTTCATTTCGTTAACGGTTTCATTTATTCAAAGTAATCACCAATGCAATCGATGTATCTCTGCCAACTTAGTGGTGCTTTATTGATACCAGTAGGTAGATAAAATATATACTATTCTAACAGACCCAACAGACGTTTTCCTCTACACAGATTTAAATCCAACAACTTATAAATAAAAAAAAAAATATAAATAAAAAATTTTAGTGCCCCGAATTGTGAATCTAAACCATTCCAACAAAATCAGAAT